GCGGAATGCGCCTTCTTCATGGTGTCCGTTGTATTCGCGTTTTTAATTGCTTTCGGTAAAAGACATAGGTCGCTCCCTCGTAGAAAGATAGAAAAAACAACTCTTCTCTTGAAGCAGATCTGAGTGTGTTTGTGGAATTTATCACCTACACTTAAGTGCACTGGATTCTCAGCATTTCATCTTCGCGTTCAAAGTCTAATTCCGGCATCCCTACCCGAAATAGGATCGAATCATTCCTAACATGGTTCTGCATTTAACTTTTATAATGAGTGGAAGCCAACGCTGACGTACGTAGCGTTCTTGATCCTTTGTAAAAACAGCTGTCTCCATGCCGTACCACAGAGGTGACCTGACAGAGGCACGGCGCAAGCGGATTGTTGTGTAAAGTGGTGCTCATTTGCCAGCCTTAAATATTGAACAAGTTGCAAAAAGTACCCGAAGCTACGGCGATCTTCCTGTTTAACTCTAGTTGAATTGTCGATCGAGATGAAGCCGAGATCTCTAAATTGGTCGAACGTTTTTATTGCCTTTCTAGCTGTTGTACTGTAGATCAGCTGTGCCAGATGGGTTTCCAGATAATTCCTTACTTCCGGAAATTAGGAAAAAGACCAGATTTCGCAGCTGTAATGTTGCATATGGAAACCATTAAGTGACAGAGCCCATTGTTTGTAATATTCATCAGGACAATATCATATGCATACTCCAAGTCAGCAAGATAGCTGAAAACAATGTTGAACAAAAATGGACGAAACGCGTTTCTGTGGCAAACTTTACAATTAATAGGATACAACTCAGGTAACTGCCGTTCTTTGGCAGCAGACCGTGTTCTGATCCATGCTATGTTCTGACTTCTGATCGACGTGGGCTGTATTCCCATTTCCTCGCATGAGAAATAAGTTGAAGGAGCAGTGTAAAGCTAACACATGAAGGTCCAAGTCCTCGGGAACCCTATTTCTGTCCTCTCCTACATTATAGCAATTAAAATAATTATTAGTTGCTCTGTAGAACGTGACTTACCTTAGAACTGACTGTAGAACTAGCATGTGACTTACCAAGAAATATTTCTTTTTCGTATTGAAGTTGCGACTGGCATTGTACGATTACTATTTGAAACTTTTGATAGAAGTCAAGGTTGGGAGTTTTTGGTTGTTCGCTTCTGGGTCGGTTTATGGACCGCAGTGTTCGTACTGTTGCTGGTTGCCATGGACGCGTCGGTGATGGTCGCCTGGATAACGCGTTTCACAGAAGAAGCCTTCGCCACTCTCATTTCCTTGATTTACGTCATTAAAGCTGTTCAAGAGTTGATGATGATCGCAAAGGAAGCACCGATGATGCGAAATCTCAACGTCAGTTTTAAAGTCAAAAAAGTGATCCTCATATGTTAATATGGCGCTTAGTTTAGGAGGTACTGCATGACCCATGTGTATGTAATCTGAGCAACGGCTCATACACGGATTACCAGTTGTTTCAGCTTCCACCATCGGTGATTTCCAACTACACGAAAGAAGGTGCAAAGCGTGCAAGCGATTGTAATTGGCAATAAGACAGAAATCCGTTTATAGATTGTTTGAATATGGGAGGGATATTACAAGGTCGTCAGTGTCATTTTAAGCCCGACGTGTTCCTTTTTTCGACCATGTTATTCGTTGCCACGTTTGTCATCACTTACGGACTGAAAGCATTCCGGTTTTCGAACTTTCTTCCGTCTAAGGTAAGACTAAAGCGTGATTCTTTCTGAATTTACATTACGTTTGAAAAAAGTAGCTTCGAAATGCCATCGCAGACTTCAACGTTACCATTGCCATCGTTGTTCTGACGGTTATCAACTGGTTGGTTGAACTGGACGTTCCCACACTTCACGTGCCGGAAACGTTTCAGGTATATTTTGTTCTAAATTCTTATTCGTTTGACACGAAAGCTGAGTTTCTTCGTAATGCTGTGAGGTAGGCATCTTCGATTCTAATTACTGTA